ATGCAAACAGTAAAATGTTTTCTTCAAGGAGTCAAAAATGAAATCCGTCATATGCTTCAGGTGTATGCCATAGTCTATGGCACAATAGAGCACAAAGGACAGCTTAGGAGTGTTGCAGGATGTCTAATGAAAATCAGGATGGATGGCAACCTCAGACATGGAAGCTGTGCAGCGGTAGAAAAGTGTGTGTGCTAATCTTTGATACGAAGGGCTGTGGAGAATAGTTTTAAAACAATTATTGTTATAATGAGCAGCAGTCTTGTACTAATGTTCTCTTCTTCTGTGACTTGTCCTGCCTCCAGCTTAGTGAAAGAGAAAACAAGCATAAAATATACCTTCACAACACAGCATATTGACTTCCTTTGTCAAATTTACCAAAGATTGACCAACGACAGTAAGTACCTCACCTTAAAACCCTAAGGCACCTCATTTTCATGGTGTGTCTCTGAATTCAAAACACCTTGAGGAAAATGTACACAGTGTGTGTGCTGGTAGGCACAACTTTTGTGTAATAAATACCAGACATCACTTGGAAATGAATTAACTAGGGTCACTAGTCTGACTTTGACACCACATGTAAATAACCCAGTCAAACTGTACCTCGCTCTTTCATAGAAGATAGGGGCTAAAACCTGCAATGAGATACTGGAGATCCTGGCCTTTTCTTGGGTTTCTTTTGCTACAATGTGGTTTAACAGGCTACATGCAAGCTAATCTGTCCTGTCAAGCATTACTCTCTGATTCACCCTGCTCCCTTTTCTGAAGGAGACAAGGAACAGATGTTCAAGCAGCAGAGTTGTCTGAGCAGCCTCACTCTTTCACTTGTCTGCCAAAAGCAACTCAGAGCAGAAAGTGTCTGCTGCAAGGTCTTTAGAGCACCAGCTTCCCTCTCTCCCCACACCACAGAAGGAGAATGAGGACAGCTCACCTGTTTGGGTACCAAGATCCATCCAGTCTCATTCCTTTCCTTCTCTTTTTTTTTTACCTCCCTTTTTTTTTAAAATTTCCCTTTTCTCCATAGATGCTGGTTTTAGCCCTGTTTCTCCTTCTCTGACACAGCAGCCAACTCAGCCTGATTCAAGCCCACCTTCCTTTCTGCCCTTTGGCAAAAATCTCTCCAGCACACTTGTGTTTCTGTACCCGGAAAAAAAATACACACGTTTCTGCAGCTGCGAGTGCCAGAAAATGAGGTTGTAGCCACCTTGCCAGCATGGAGTGGGTGCATGAAGAAAGGAAGAGAAGCAGCTGCTTGCAAAAGGAAGTCGGGGGCACCTTTCAGGGCATCCCAGAATCTGACTTGGACCCTCGGACTGCTGCTATGTAGGGGCAGTCTAGTTTGCTTCTTTACTAAATTTCAGGTCAGCATCCTTCTGTTTCCAGCCCTGTAGTGCTATTTCCCATAAAATGACCTTGGGACAGTATATCTGAATTACCCTGGCCTTGCTGAGAATGAGGGCATTTGTCCCAAATCAGAGAATCCTGAAGAGTGAGGAAGTCTCCCTGTTGTTAGGAGCAAGATCCTCTGTATAGGCTTGGCATAAAGCCAGGCTTTTATATTGAGTTCTGTCTTGCAGAACCCTGTGAAAATTTCAGGAAAAAAAAAAACCAAACAAAAAACTTCACATATTTCCTTACTGGCAACCTTGAGTTTTAAATCATTCCAATTTTGTCTTCCTCTGTCACAGCTAGGCATCTTGTCCTAACTTGAAAATTTCATTAGTGTCTTGAACATTTCTCCATTTTGCTACCTCAGAAGTTGCAGACTTTTCTATCCCCCCTGAGTTCTCGCAACTGAGGGTGAAGATGTGTGGGCCAGGAAACTGGGAAGACAGAGTTACAACTGCGTATTTGTTCAGTTGTTGAATAAACATTTCCACAAAGCCTACAATGAGTCATCACATTAAAAGCTGTCCTTTGTATCCTTCTTGGGACTGCTTTTGTAAAATGAATATAGAAGTCAGACCCAGTTAATCCAAATCATTTTGCAAATTAATGTCTACAGGCTTTTAAAAGCATAGGTATCCCAGTGGGCAGGCAGAAGGAAGTTGTGCTGCCTGTACCGCAGTCACCAGACACATTTTGAGTGCAGAGCCCTGAGTCCCTCATGGGGCTGCTGAGGAAGCACGTGCACTGTCAAAAGCTGCCATGTGGGTTCAGACTGTGGAGTGTGTGCTGGGCTGCAGCTGGCATGGAAGTGGATTTTACCACTGAGATCATGATGACTGCCTCAACTTTCCCCATGGACTGGGCTCAAGAAGCATGTGGGGCAGGATTCAGAACTCTATACATCCTCTGTCCTCATGTACACCTTATGCATAAGCTATCTGAATCTAGTCCATAATCCTTTCTCAGGTAAAAAAAAAAAATCTTTATATTGTATGTGTATATAAGCTTATTTTCTGTGAACACTCAGCCGTAAGAATAATCAAAAACTGGATGTTCTAAGTTGATCTGCCTTATGCAGGGAGTAGCTCTGTTTAAAATAGGAAAACATTTCGGTTTTGCTATTTTGCTTCCTGCATGTGAAATCCTAAGCCTTTCATTTTAGGGAATTAAAAGTTGGTTTAATGTTCTGTATATCTGAAAGGATTAAAGGGACTTCTCAAACATTAAAAGGTAGCCTTTCTGGATTCTCTAAATATGTACCATTAAAAATGGAGTAGGTGAATTAATATGATTTAGATGCTTAGGAGCTGATTCCAATGCAAGCCTAAGTGCAGACAGAAGATTCTGCACCAACATAACCTGGCCAGTTGAAAATAAATATCACAGTGATGTCATCTTTTCTTAGATACACTGGCACTTGTCTTTGCAGGGCAGAAGTGAACAAATTCATTCTGCCTGTGCTCCAAGAGAAATGCAAGCTGTTTAGCCGGACTGAGACTGAGCTGGGCTCTGCTTTGGTACGCTAAAATTCCTGCCTATGTGACAGTTTGGACTGTGCCAGTAATGCTTTTATTTAAAAAATAATCACCAAGCTTCTTCCTGACTAGCTGTTGAAGTGGACAGAGTATGTTTTTGTTTTAAATCATCGTGTTTGCCTACAACTGAGCTAAAAGACCACTGCAGAGTGTGATTCAGTACCCTAAACATAGGCTATTTTACACAGCATAGGGAATCTGAGACATCTGTATGGGAGTGGCACACATGAGATATTGCCTCTACTGGGCCCATGCCCTTCCAAGGCAGCAGCTGGAGGCCAAATAGGGTTTCCTAGGATATTTAAAATGGCATGAGGTAACTACATTTAAGCAAATGAATCCCATCCTATGGAATCTTGGACTTACTCTGCTTGAAATCTGGAAGAATTAGTTTATCCACCAGCATACATGCATGTGCTCTCAGCCTTCTTCAGTTTGTGGAGGGTTCAGGATAAGAATACAGCTGTCTCTGCCTTCCACCAGGCACTGCAATGACAATTTGTATTTCTTTCTGATCCAAAAAGTAATTATTTGTTTTTACTAGTCTACAGAAAGAAATGTCATTTCAATCTTCTCCAGAGAGTGCTGATGATAAACTTCTCGTATCTCTTCCCTTTCATGTCTAGGCATCTCTGATAGAAACACCACACATTCTTTTAAGATTTTCAGTACTTATAAACCCTTAGATGTTCAGAGGTTTTGTGTAACTGGAAAGGCTTTTCAGAAACCAGTAGGTGATATTATTCTGCATTGAATTATATAGGAAAAGAGGACCTAGAAGGATCATTGCCTTATAAAAGATGGCAAGAATCCCTCATCACCAAAAGATGCATGGGCTGCGATAGTAATACTGTAATGCCTTATATACGATTTGAAGGAGTTGAAGTGTCTGTAGGAATTATGATTTTTTACCTTTAAATATCAGTGTTTGATATATATCTTGTTCTTGCTTTTTGTTACGTGACATATTCATATGCGATGTGCCTTGAAAGTCAACAGCTTCTCTGATTTCTGTGCTGTGACAACTAGCATTATTTGTTAGGTTTGGGTAACCTCATCAGGCAAGGGAAACTGCTTTAAGACTCAGGCATTTATAAGGAATTTAAGGTTTGAGATGTTCTTACGGATGAAGTTGTGGGAAGGAAAGTTCAGACAAAAGCAAAGAGCAGTTCATCAGTCCTTCAGGCAAAGGGAAATCCCCAGGGATGGGCAGGATGTTAGTAGCAATATAAAGCTGATGATTCTATCTACACTTATAAAAATAAAACAAATGTGTACAAAACCTCTGGCCCACATAAGGAAAAAATTTCCCAGTGACCAATTCAATTAACTAAAAAAAACCACTAAACTCCACAGCTTTCCTGGCCCAAATGAATGCGTAGTTAGAGAAGACTGCATGGTAAACATGGGAAAAAAAAAAAAAAGTATGTTTTTGGTTTTGTTTCTGACTTTTATGTTGGTAATAACTCCAGTTCCAAAGCTTTTACAAACTTCAGTAGAACTAAAAGCAGAGTTTTTTCTCTAGACCAACGCTTACCAGTAAGGAAAGGAATAAAGTGGGCTCATTTCACTCTTTTCAGCAGTATAACCAATTTCAGAAATGTCTCCTCAGCTTAAAATAGTGAAAGTTTCTGGAACTGATGATACGTCTGAGACTAAAATGGTCTTTAAATGCACCTCCTAGCTGAAAGATGTGCTTGATTGTGTAAGTGTACTGGCAGGAGAAAAAAAAAAAAGAATGGATTTAGGGATATATATTTAAGACCGGACTTCAAAAAATGCAACTTATTTTCACTTTGTAAACTTCTCTTGCAGAAATAAGAAGCAATACAGGCACTGCACTATGTATGACAATAAGAAATGGCAGGTTCCTATTGACTCAACACACTCGGAATCTCATCCGTTATCAAATGGGACTTGAGTACTGCCAACAAATAAACAACATTTTTTTTCATTCTCTGCTGCCTAAAGTCACCAAATACAGATTAGTCTGGAGTGCATTTATTGTTCCTGCTAGACGTAATATAAAATAAAAATCAGTTTTAGATACACAGATGTTTTTTCCCCTCCTTCCTTCAGGCTGTTGAAGAATGCACAGAATGAAGTTCATTTCAAAATCTGGTACCAGAAACTACTGGCTGCTCTCCAATTCTGTGCTGGAAAAACCCTGAACAATGAGTTTTCTAAGGAGGGGAAACTTATCAGAATTCTGGAAGACATTGCCAAAAAAGTAAAAGCTGCCAGTGACCCAAAAAAAAAGGTTTGTTAAAAAATACCTCCCCTTCCATCTAAGTTTCTCCAGGTAATTTTATTTTTTCTAAGGTGACACCTCTTTCCTATAATGCCCTTTACATAAATAAACCCAAGATTTGAGTAAAATTTGTAAAATTTTGTGCTGCTCTGAAAACATGTAAAAGATATGTATTTAACAGGACAACTCTCGTCCCTATTACTCTTGAGGTCAGCAGACCTTTTATGTCATTTAAATTCCTTCATCAATGGTTTTTCAACCAGACTTGAAGGTGGTCAGGAATAATGGCAACAAAGCTGATTAACATTTTACTGAAAGGAATGCTCACATTCAGCACTTCATCCCAAAATATTTGACTCCTGTAGAGCTGCAGTGTTTCTCGAACACTTTGCTAAGAGCTGTCCTTGACAGGCTGAACATCCTCATTTCTTAGCAAAGCCAACCAGAGTGAACTGTACTTAATATCTCAAATATAGCATTCAGCAATTAATACTGTCCGCATATCTGCAGAGATGCATTCCTGGCAGTAGAACGCTTTCAGTCGTCTTCTCCAGTGGGTGCAGCTTTTATATTGCATACGTACATTTCCAATTCAAAACTGTTAATTTTCCAAGACAGTTGTTGTTACTTACCTGATGTGTAGAACTGCTTCTTGCTGAGATCTCAGCAAGACAGACCAGAAAGCCAAACAAAAATATACCTGCTACTGCTGGTTATCATGATATCTATCATGAATTCTTTTTGCCTTCTTAAGGATTCAAAGATTTTCAAAGGAGTTTTCAGAAAACTTTCAGTGTTGCTACTGAGAGCAACAAAGCAAACATGGAAGTAAAAAGACAAAAATATTTGCAAAGAGAAAAATCCGTGTAAAGAAAAAGAAATAGTAGTGATACATACATTACTGATGCATAATTCAGATTTTAGAGATTAATCTCAAGGCTGCAGTTACTGTGATATTGAGAAACTGCCAAACTTTGCAGTTAACAAACCTACAGTTAGGCAAGGGAGATCACAGTGTTGAGGCAACAAGCCACAAATTGTGAAGTTGTCCAGCAAGGCAAAAAAGACATGAGATGCAGCAGAGCAGGTGCAAGGCTAATCAGCTCCTAATGAAGGGTATTGAATCTGAACCTACATGACAGCACGAACTGGTAGTGCATCTAGGCCGAAAAAGTACGAATGCGGAGTAAAATCACAGTTCTTATTTTTAATAACTGCACCTCAGTGTGACCTCATTAACTGTTATAAGGTTACATGGATGCTACGGGCTCCAGAAATTGTACTGCTTGTTTAAAATATAGAAAGACAGTCAACGGCTTAAAAGCTGCTATTATGTTCTTTCATGTTGCCATAATGATTCACATGTTGCAGGAGGTGTTAAAGATGGAACTCAACAGACTTCAGCAGTTCTTCCAGGAGGTAAAGGTTTGTCGGCTTCCCCTGAATCCTGCGCTTGTTGTCCAAGGCATAGAGGCAGACGTAAGTCTAGCTCATGTAATGGATTATGGTTTTAATTTTTATTTCCTGTTTTAGTATAAAGGGGGAGAGGGAGTGAATGGCTGCATTGACTGGGAAATAATCTTACTAGTATTAAGCATGAGTCATCTGGTAAACAGACATCTAGCCTAATCCCCTTTAAACTGGGGGCCTTTGTTGGAGGCAGAGGTGAAGGAGACTGGTGGGGTGGGTGTTGCACGCACGTGTCACCTTGCGCAGCAGTGGCAGCAGAGATTTCAAACTCTGAGCAACCTGCTCCCAGCTCAGCTGCCCTGCCGTGGTGTTGGAGTTGGCAAGGGCACCTGGGTTCCCTCAAGCTGAGACCTGGTTACCATCCTGCCCAGGTAGCTCTTGGTGGCATTATTTTTCTCATCTAAGACTCTCACCTGTCACGTATGGGAGCAGCTGAAGGCCTAGAGCTAGCTCTCTTTTTGTTGAGGTGAGATTAGACACATGACTGAGAACTGCTAAAATATTAAATATTCAGAGTAACTTCCCCGTGTCTATGACCTCTATTAAAAATGACTTAAGAATAAAGGAAACAACAATGCTCTTTAGTGTTACTTGACTTCACTTTGACTACAGTACTAAGACCCAGTTATTCATTGTTTAGAAATGTTTTCCTAAACAATATTATGCCAGGAACAAGCTGTTCTATCTCTGGATTAGGAAAAGGTATCCAGCAGCAAGAGAAAGCAAACCTGAACACCCATATATATTACCAGTTATAGCTGCCTAATTACAGCAATTTGTGCTCTATTTTTGTTCTCTGGCTCATTATCCACAGTGGACCTGATTCTAAGAGGTGCTGATCCCTTCATTTGCCTTTGACCTGTGATTCTCCAAGTAATTGCTATTCAGCCTTGATCTCGCTGAGAACGGAGGTCTTCCAGCACCCTGCAGACTTGGGCCAATTGTGTGTGATACAAGTCAGAAGAATTTGAAGCCTGCTGCTTCTCACTGCTTTCAGGCTTTTTGGAAATAATGACTAATGGGAAGGTGTCTCACCATACAGTCATGCTATTTATAGTGTACCAGCTTGGCTGGACAGATACAAAATGTTTAAATATAAGTATCTGAAGAGGTTTTTTTTTTTTTTTCTTATATCATTATAGGCCATTATCTTGCTATAAATATATGCAGCTTCTTGATTGAACTGTATGTCAGTATAATCATGCAAATTAGAATTTTTAAGTGCTTATAATTACCTAAATGTAATTCATTTTGGTATCATCTATTGATTTTACTAGTAGCAAGCACTGCTCCCAGATAATGCATTATCTCACAGTAACCTTTCAAGCACTTATTGAGACATTTCAATTGGCAAAATTCCATAGGGGGTCAGGATTTCATCATCAGTAATAGCTATTGCACGTCGCGGAGGTATGATGTGGCTAAGATAATATTTGAATGATTGCACCATGCTTTGAGATGTTTAGATGAAAAGCAAGAGACAGCTGTGTCTAGTAGCATTTTTGTTCAAATTAGCCTCCATTGCACTCCACCCAGTAAGGACAGCAGTAGCTCCTGTGGGGCACTCATTATTTCTAGAAACCAGGCCATTAATTTACCATTGTCTTTGGTTGGGTTTTTTCGTGGGTTCCCCCCCCTTTTTTTTTTAATGATGATAATAATACCACCCTAACTCACACAGGATTTGCAGTGCTTGGCTCATTAATGCTTTTTGAAGCCCTTTGAGGTCTTCAGGTGGAAGGAGCTGTAGGGCATGAGAAGTCGGAGTTTATGTTTAATTAAGATAAATTCCGCATAAAATAGATTGTGATTTTCAGAATTTCCTGTATTCTCAGACAGAGTGAGGTCACCGAAGAAATTAGCAGGTTCTTTGCTTCCATAAAGATTGCATGATTGGGCAATTTTATTTTTAAGAAAATAATAGGACCGAAGGCTTTTCAGTGCTTTACGGATTCTCATTAGATCAGTCTTACATACTTCGTCCACTCAGTCCCAGCCAAAGTTTATCGTTAATAGACCTGGGTGAAAATGAAAAACAGTTAGTGTGGAAAATATTATCCATTTGTATAATCTGATTGTTGAGTGAAACAAATTGTCTGGGAAAAAGAATTTCTCATTTTCCTGATGCAATTAAACAGTCAATAATATCAAGAATTATTTATTCTTGTTATCAGTACTACTGAGCAGTATTTAAAGATGGTAAAGATTTCTGAGGTATTGTATTAGCCTGATGTTTTGTATATGTGACATTGTTGTTCTTCTCTCTCATCTTTTTTTCCCTGAAGTCATGTTCATATTTTACGTCCAATGCTTTTCCATTAAAAATCTCCTTCATCAATGCAAATGCTCCAAGTGGAAACATCAATGTTATTTTTAAGGTATGTTCTTCCTCTAATCTTCAGTTCCTTTTATATGGAAAATGTTGATTTGAAATTCACCTAATTTAAGTTTTAAACCTTGAGCCTGAGAATGTTTGATTTGGCTCTGCTGTTCACTTTTCCCAATTATTTTTGACACTCGAACTTTTAATGGAATATGCTGAGGCAATGTATTGAAGTATCAGCTTTTTGATACGTAGAAAATCAAATGACTCCTTGCAATTGTTTTTCTTAGTGGAGACAACCAGGCTAAAATATGAAGTTTATATTTTAAGCCTAGTTTATTTATCACACTGGAGTCGGAGGGCAAGTCTCAGAGAAGGGATAGTTCAGAATGACTGAATCCAGTAGCCTTGTCCATATGTCTTTAACAAATCAAAATACCGGAGTGTTAGAGACTGCATTTGCTACACAGAACTAATTCTGCCTCTATCAGCCAGCATGGGGGAAGGGGCTGAGGAAGAGGGAGGTGAAGGGAACAGCAGAGGAGCTCTGTCTCTTTGGAGTTACTTGGAGGAACTGACTCTGAAAGTAAACTCTGGTTTATTTTCCTGTTGTCACCTTCAAAGCTTCAGAGTTCAGGACAGTGCTGTGTCCATCCGCAAAAGACAATACATGCAATCTAAAGTTACTTTCAAAAGAGCAAAAGTCTTCCATAACAGTGGATTCTGTTTTCAGAGAACACTGAAGTTCATAAAATGGCTGATGGATACAAAATGGTCAGTGTTGCCAAAAACATTACTAGATCTTTTGCAGTATCATGTTTCAAACCAGAAGCCTAAAAATTGATAAAAATAAATTTAAAAAAAAAAAAAAAAAGATTTCTAGGCTGTCTTGAATTAAATTGACCTTTAAAGCAGCTGTGATTCTCAGGAATAAAACTATGCTTTCCAGGCATGTTAGGGGGAGGCTAGCAATGTTACATTTTTCTGAACATTTAGAAAGCTGGTTCTTATGCTATTTCATGTGAGAATCGATGTTAGATAGACAGGTTCCTACTTACTTGAGCAACTTAGCAAATGCCTGCCCATGCGGCATTTAAACATTTGTGCTGGTTTTACCTAGACAGTATTTTCCCTGGTCAGTAACATTCAACAACCAACCGTCTGATTGCTGTAGAAGTATTATAGCTGACATCACCTTCACCTGCGAGCAAACCATTGTGTTAAAGTATCTTTTACCTGTACTATAGTTCCATTGTTTGTTCATGATGGATAATGCATACATAAAATGATAAGCACTGATATATTAAATTGTCTACTGACATTATAACACTATACGTGAGGGAAAGAGGGAAGATAAGTGGAGAGAATAAAATTTTTCTCAGGTTTAGGTACTAAGAAGAATTAATTGGAGTTAAGATCACATTTAAATGAAAGAAAAATATATTTGTTTGTTTGTTTTTTAAAATATTAGTTTATGTTTCCTCAAGTACTCATTTCATAACATTAAGTGTCTGTAGATTGGAATGCTTACATAAAAAGAATGTAATAAAAGAATAAAGCACTTAAAAATACCAGTAAAACTCACATGTATTTTAGATGAGGTGGGGAGGAGGAAACAAAAAAAGCAGGGCTTTTGTTTTCACAGGCCATTTACTCAGCCATGGTTGAAGATAATCTCTTCATTACCTCTTGTGGCTACAATTAAAGCCCCATTTCACTAAGACTGTTGTTTGACTGACTCCATGGGGAGAGCAGTCAACACTACATCACTGTTTGAAACTGAATATGAATCATGTCATGGATAAAATATAAATTTGTTGTAAAATTCCCCTTCAGACTGCAGCAAATTCCAAGTTGTGAAGCTTAACATTAGACAAATGCTGTCATTTGTGAAAAGGGATCTAGCATTAGGTAGACTTTAAAATGTAACTAAATTAGGATCCTACCTCCGGATTAAATTTTCAAACTGTAATAATTACATAGGAATAATAAGCAGAAAGGCTGCAGTTAATCAAGAAACATTTGTTACCATCTCAGTGACTGCCAAAACTGTTTCTGCCTATGTGTGCCATTTACTCTGTCCTCTTCTGACACAGAAAGATAAGTAGGAACTTTGAAGAAAAACAGGAGGGATTTACTGTAAAACGAACGTAGCTATTCTGGTGAGGGAAAAAATCCAAATGAAACAGGAAGTTATTTCTATTTGGTATTGAAGGAGAAACCTGGATTTCTCATGCAATTTTCACAGATAGGCGATGATCTACGTCAAGATATGCTGGTTCTGCAAATTATTCGAGTGATGGACAGCATTTGGCTCCAAGAGGGACTGGATATGCAAATGATCATTTATAGGTGTTTATCTACAGGAAAAGGCCAAGGTTAGTTTTACATTATGAAAGTTACCTGCATTACATTATTTATATCTCATGTAAACAGCAGTATACAAAAATCTTCCCTTTAACTTTTATTTTGATGGGTATCTTATTTATATTCCCCCTTAAAGAAAAAAAACACCTCAGAATTTCTGTTACTCAGGCCCTAAATTGTATACGTGCCTACTCCTGAATATTCATTTTATTTATTCATTCTTCCTCTCCACAATAAGTAGAACCAAACTCATTGAATTTTGTAGCAACTTAGGCTAGAATTTTCCAAAAACCTCAACACCATCAGCTTGCACCAGATTCTTAAAAGTAACTTCACACATCAAAAAAGAGAACTTTGGAGAAAATTGGCCACAGCTACTAAAGTTTTAATCAGTGAGATCCTTCATAGATGCTTAAATGAACCTAGATGTATGTGGCTACGGAAAGCACCTATAGACAAGTGATGACAGCTTCGCAGTGTTGATTTTGAAATATTACTCTTGCGATTTATGCTGCTTAGGGCAGGCTTGACTCAACTGAAAGCTTTTTTTATCTCTTTTATGGTTGTTACAGCAGAGCTGTGGCAGGGATACCAATTGCTTGCTGAGAAAATTTACTGACAGCAATAAGCTTACTATTTTTTACTGACTCTCCAAATCTTTTACTGAAAATAATCCTTGCACAAATAGAAGACTGATGTATCCAGATTACCTGCTGTACAAAAACTACCAAAAAAAAATTCATTGCTTTCTGAGCCACAAAGAGGTAATGAGAGAGGATGAATGATCTGAAGGAGCTAGGAGAAAGTATAGATGAGTTCACGCACATGGCGGGTGGTTAAGGTGACCTGAAAAAGACTCCTCTCTTCTTTGTAAGGGTGGGAGTCAAAGCTTGAAGGCTTCTGCTTCAAAGGCAAATAATAGAAGAACACCATTTCTGAACATAATATTATGTCTCTCTCATATACTAACACTTAATTTGGTTTTTGCCAAGAAAGCTACAGGGATCATCTGCAAATAATATTCTCTGCCTGACAGACTCTTCCTTTCAGCACCCCAGTAACAGAAAACCTCTCAGTGTCTGACAGATTTTCCTCACAATGTCTTTCCTTATGAGGTACAGAAGTGTTAACATAATTGATTTCCAGTTAGTGATTAAGGATAAAAGGACCAAGTGACATGCCTGTGGCCCATACAGGACATGTGCTAAAGTAGCCTTACGCACCCAGGTCTTCCAAGTCCTACGCTAACAACTTGCTCCATGGGCCACCTTTTCTACACAAGGGGGATAGAGATGATAATTTCATAGTCATGGGAACACAGAAATCACTTTTCATAGAAATGTGAAAAGCAGATAAAGCACTGGTAGTATCCCACTTTCCAGGCATGGTATAGTAGAGGAGCCTGTCACCAACTGAAATTGTTAGAGGAAGCCCTTCCTGTAATGCAGAGTTGTGGGATGACGTGCCAGGGGACCAAACACAGGGACAGGGACAGAAGGCTGACAAGCCAGGTCTCAGTTCCAAAACAGGAATTAAGTGCATGCAGTAGAGGCAGAGAATTCAAGTGAAGCATTGCAAAATGCTTGGCTTCTCTCCGCACTTCAAGGTCCCAGTTTATGTCCTCTTGGATCAGACTAATTTCTGCACTATCTAGTATCCTTTCTCCCAGCTGTGATCAGCATCACATACTGCAGAAAAATTTGTGTGGCGTTTGAAATAACTTTGAAATAACACATATGAAATAACTTTATCTTTCATAGTAAATATCTGATCCTATTTTTTATAGATTTTTGTTGGTTTTGTACGTATTCTACCCAATTTGAATCTTGTTAAATTTTTGGCCTTGTTGGTACCTTGAGGCAGTTATTTCCATAATATTGTTATTGGTGGGTTTATTTCTTATTTGCAGAACTGCCACTTTTTACTAAGTGTCCTTTGTTTTTTGTGTCCAAAGAGAAAGAGAAAAACAATCCTGATTTATATTTTCTATTGCATTAATTATTTTATAAGCTTTTAAGTATGTATTTTTTCTGCATGGAATGATCCAACAATAGGCAATATGCATTGATGGTCTTCATATCTTTTTAAAGTTGAAGGTTTTTCATGTGAACTCTTCTATCTGATTAGGATTGGTACAGATGGTGCCAGATGCTACCACACTAGCGAAGATCCACAGGGAGTCTGGTCTGATAGGACCATTGAAAGAAAACACAATTAAAAAATGGTTCCGTCATCACCATCCTCTGGAATCAAGTTACCAAGAGGTAATATCATAATAAAGCTTATTATACATTTCATGTTTTAGCACGGGAAAAAAAAAACCAAATAGCAGTAAGCAGCAAAAACAAATTACTCAAACACAAGACAAACAAGTCACATGCATAGAATTGACTTAAATGCACTTTATTTCTAAGCAGATATTGCTCTGGATCAGGTGCGTTGTAATACATTTTCTATAAAAATGTATCATAGAGATGTTTTGAAGTTTAGTATTAAAGTGAAGAGAAGCAGAAGTAGTAATTAAGTATTGAACTCAAAAACATTTATTTTTTAGGTCAGCTCTCTGAATATTTTATTTTATATAAACCATGCAAAGTCTCAGTGGATTTTCTGTATTTGGAAATGACCATGTCAATACCCACAGTTTTAGAAAGCTGTTTTATCAAAACTACCTAGTCATATGACACATAAGATCACGGTTTTCATATCACATTGTGGGATCCCATGTAATGCATCTGATTTTATGAAACTAGACATTATGTGTGAGCCAAAAAATGGGAAATTTTATTTATAGAAGCAGAGGTTTCCCAAGGAACTCTTTCTATTCACTCTTTGTTGTCTGAGCATGTTCTGAGGCCCATGAAAAACCTTTTAATGTTTGTGTTCCTGGGACAATTTTTAGAACCCTACTCCACCCGTACAGTAGATTAGCAGCCAAAATTTTAAATGTAAAGGGAGTTTTGAGTGTTTAGCACTCTGGAAATGAAGTGCTTTTATAAGAGTTTATTAGTAGATGTATAGCATAAATATGTTTGATAAACTTTAGTAATTTTGTAATTATTCCATAGCCATTTGTTCATCCACATTTTCAGTAAGAGCACTTGAATTCCTAGTATATAATTTTGATTAAATTAAACAGGAACAATCTATACAGAATTTTTTTTCACAAGTTTGTATGTTTACAATAGAAGTAGAAGTGCAGCCAACATTTCTACTGAAAAGTGAGATACTATTAGTTAGCGATTGAAAACCTGACTTCTTGCTGCTGCTGCTGCTGTTTGTAAGAAGTACTGTTAATGTGGAATATTCTAAAACCAATTTCTATCCATTTTCTTTCAATTTTTTAAACATATAAAATACAGTCAGATCTGATTGCATAGGGCATGCATAAAATTGCTACTCTACATTCACCTTGCACTCACTGGTGAATGAACCTTTCTTTTTTATTCCTTAATAATTTTTTACTTATACAATACTGTTTCTAAGGTGCTCAGAAAACTCAGGCAGAATAAGTTTTAATATCCTCATTTTACAGTTGGATGAACAAAATCACAGAAAGCTTAGGTGTTTTATCCAAGGTCATCAAAGTGAGTAAGTAGTACAGTTAGACATAAAATTCACCAAACTCTTGTGCTGTGACCTGTCTTCCACAGTGCTGTCATCCATATCAGCCATTGCAGGTGGCACCCTGCATCTACAGGGAAATCCTCAATGCCTAAATAATGATTTACCTTGGCTAATGTAGGTTTTGTCCAAAAACATAAAGATCACAGATTAGAATTGTTTGGGTTTCTATATAAATGAATCATATTGTGATTGAGATTCAGGGGAGATTAAGACTTCTGAATAAGAACTGCATTTTCAGTTCTTAAACTGCAGTAAGTAAGATTAAAAAAGACAGAAGCTATTCCTTATGCTTTGGGGTAGAAGAGTGATAATCATTTGAATCAGGAATAACTCTCCCCTGAGAAAGGACAGGGAATTTGTGTGTTGTGAAAGAGGTTGGGTAGATTCTTCTACTAGGAGAAGTGTCAGTTTTTAAATACTTCACACTGAAGTTAGCAGAAAACTTGGAATCCACCTATGAGTGTCTGGTGAGCAGATCATTAGTTGTACATTTTCTTACGTCTGCCATGGGCACATTTTTGGCAAAGAGCAATGCCACAATATAATATTCATGAGATAGATCTGAATGAGGCAGTCTAATTACATGAAGCAGACTAACTGTGAAAGTACACATCTCCACCACGTAAAAGAGCATCAGAGGAGTAGGTTATATTAAACACAACTGCTAGACTGGTTTTTGGTTTAATCACTCTCTTGGGTCTCTCTGCGTGACACTACGTTTGATCCCATAGTCTATTCAGATTCACAGATGCTATGAGCATAAAACGATTTAGCCTTTCTTTGTTTCAGTTCATTTCTGTAAAAAGGGGTTTAATTCTTTGGGCTGTAATATTGTGAGACTTGATTAATTAGCATTTGAGAAAGGCAACTGAGCTCTGGAGAAAAAAGACCCATGTAGGTACAGAACAGTACAGTGGGTGTAAAATAACCTTTCTTTACAAAGCAAATGGTTAAATTTGTGGATTTCCAACTAATTTCCAAACAATTGTTTTTACAATATACATGCAGGCTATTGAACAGAAAATGTCAGCTTCCTGACAAGAAGCTTGCTTTTCTTAGGTACATTTCACTTTAGAAGTTTTCTATAGAATTCCAAGTATCTGTAAAACACAAGGTGAAAACCTCATGCATTGTAACTTTGAAATTTGTGTGTTACTTGTTTGGGTACCATTCCTACAAACACCTGTTTGTTAAAATGTTAGCAACATGGATAGCATTTGTAGAACCACAATTTTTGGTTTTCTTGTTAACGTCACAAATAATTCTCTGTATATTTCCAGTAAGTGCTTTTGTTTTACTAACTAGGCAATAAGGAATTTCTTTTATTCCTGTGCTGGCTGGTGTGTTGTTACCTTCATTCTGGGAGTCTGTGATCGACACAGTGACAACATAATGCTGACAAATGCCGGACACATGTTCCACATAGATTTTGGAAGATTTTTAGGTCACGCACAGACATTTGGAAGCATAAGAAGGTTAGTATCTATAGTAATGTACATATTAAACTTTAAAGCAGTGTTCTGTAATTTCACAGTCTTATCAACACCTGTGGAAAAAATAGAAATGATATCATGCTTTTTTTTCCTTTCTGAATTTTCCAAAACAACATCTTCTAATTGTTTACAAACCCTCTAAAAAATATAGGAATGACTGGAAAAGGAATTAAAATTAGATGTTCGAGATCCCCTTTCAGTCTAAAAAAAAAAAATCTAAATCCTTGTTTCGTCAGAGATTTGAATGATGCAGTTCAGTAGTGACCAAAACAGTAGACTGGCCTATGCCAAAAGGATGCTGATGTCCATTGTTTTTTTCTAACAGAGGAGCATTCCTATAATGGATCCAAAACCATAGATGTATCTAATTGGCCACTTTCTTCCAATAGACGTGGAGAATAATTACATTATGCTTCTGTGGGTAAAATTGCTAACTTTTTCATTATCCTTTGAAGTTTTATATCTAACCACACTGAGCTCAGGGGCTGGTTTGCGAATGTCTGATTTTACCTAAACAAGACTGTGATTTTTCTGTATCTATCTGTGATGTAACCATCGCATGATAAAGATAAAATAGTGTGATCATGTATTCTAGTTCCTAATGTGAACATACTATGGAGGAATGAATTGGGATGGAACAAGAATAGATAGGATAATGCCAGTATGTGTAAAACACAAAGAAGCTGTTATAGCAGAGTAGAGAATGGATAAATGATCCCTAATACTGACAAGATGAGTAGTGTGTGTGTGAGGGGGTGTCTTTCCTCCATGTTTCCTAGTAATTTCCAGAACTCATCCTAGAATTAAGTTTGAGCTAATTGTTCCTTTCTTTTTTTTTTTTTTTTTTTTTTTTTTTTTTTTTTTTTTTTTTTTTTTTTTTTTTTTTTTTTTTTTTTTTTTTTTTTTTTTTTTTTTTTTTTTTTTTTTTTTTTTTTTTTTTTTTTTTTTTTTTTTTTTTTTTTTTTTTTTTTTTTTTTTTTTTTTTTTTTTTTTTTTTTTTTTTTTTTTTTTTTTTTTTTTTTTTTTTTTTTTTTTTTTTTTTTTTTTTTTTTTTTTTTTTTTTTTTTTTTTTTTTTTTTTTTTTTTTTTTTTTTTTTTTTTTTTTTTTTTTTTTTTTTTTTTTTTTTTTTTTTTTTTTTTTTTTTTTTTTTTTTTTTTTTTTTTTTTTTTTTTTTTTTTTTTTTTTTTTTTTTTTTTTTTTTTTTTTTTTTTTTTTTTTTTTTTTTTTTTTTTTTTTTTTTTTTTTTTTTTTTTTTTTTTTTTTTTTTTTTTTTTTTTTTTTTTTTTTTTTTTTTTTTTTTTTTTTTTTTTTTTTTTTTTTTTTTTTTTTTTTTTTTTTTTTTTTTTTTTTTTTTTTTTTTTTTTTTTTTTTTTTTTTTTTTTTTTTTTTTTTTTTTTTTTTTTTTTTTTTTTTTTTTTTTTTTTTTTTTTTTTTTTTTTTTTTTTTTTTTTTTTTTTTTTTTTTTTTTTTTTTTTTTTTTTTTTTTTTTTTTTTTTTTTTTTTTTTTTTTTTTTTTTTTTTTTTTTTTTTTTTTTTTTTTTTTTTTTTTTTTTTTTTTTTTTTTTTTTTTTTTTTTTTTTTTTTTTTTTTTTTTTAGCTGGCCTTTGGCTATTCTAGACTCAGTGTGTTAGACAGAAATAACAGTGTGGGAGTATTGATATGAGGGATGCTGATGGGGCTAATAAGTACTTCTAAGCCAGGCAGTCAAAAGATTTAGCTGCAGTGCTCAGAATTATCATCAATCATTCAAGATATGCTCCCTTAATCCTACTTATTTGCTGTGGAAAGAATAAAGCAGAACGGAATAATAAAAAACGATACTCATGTACACTCTAAGTCAAGTGCTGCATCCCTCACTCCAACAAACCTCCTTTTGGAGCCTAACAGGAATTTGCTTGAGCAGTAATTTTACATGAGCAAAGAATTATCTAGTTTGAACACACGACGAAGCAAATATAGGGGGGGCCACAACGACCAAATTTAAAGAGAAATCATGTAATAGCAGTAATAAAAATACATGTTGATTTTACTGTTTTACAACTCAGTCATACTACACATTCTTATAAAGTCTAAGAAAATGACTTCAGATATAGTCACTTCCATAAACAGCAGCCATTTTTTCCTGTTTCTCCATGCAGTACATTACTTTTAAACTATAAAATAAAATAATGCATTTTAGGACCTGCATTCATGGAATGCCCTCATGGTTCTTTAATAAAACTAGAACTCACACTTAACAGTAGGTTGTGAACATCATGGGACAATGGTTGTCTTCCTCATAACTACATGCAATGGGCAGATACAATATTAATGACTATAGTTCTCGTGAGCTGTAGCACCTTCATGAAATGTAACATATTATTTGTAACACAGGAACACAGGGATATCACATTTCTACATCCCATAAATTTCAGGCTCTCTCAAAATTTGAAACCCTCAGTGGCATTTGTATCTATTCATTCCCACGAGGCAAGTTGTGAAATAGTTTAGCCTCTGGTTTCTTTAACAGCTCTTTATATTAGATTTTTATTTGAGTTCTTATTAGATTTTTGTTTGACCTCTTTGCACCCCCAACAATATCATACCCCTAAAATAATATTGATAAAACAGCAACACAATGCTTTCAAATCTTTAGAATTATTAGTGCTGACCATTAGGGTTTTGTACAGTAGATGCTATACACATACTTGTGAAGTTCTATAGGTAGCTTTAAAGAATGAAATGTAACTGATACAAATCCCTATACATGCAACTGGTCTTTACACACATCACACAAACAAACTTCTTTTTTTTGTTAATCTATGCAAACGAATGAAGGCTTATAGAAAAGGATTCCCTGTCTGAACTGTTTAAGAGAGTCATTCCTTTCAGAATTTAGGAAGATAACTTGCTTGCCACAGTTGTCCATTTTCTGTTCTCAGGGAGTGCTTTTTGCCATTAAAAAACTCTTATTCCTCACAAAGCTTCATGAGGATAGGTCCTCTCCAGTATTCTGCATACGGAGCGTTTCTTCTGATATAAATAAAGTGAAAGGCATACATGGCAGCTTTGAGAATCGCACGCTGTTATGCATGGGCTGCAGTTCTTTCCATCAAATCCAATATGAGTCTTCAGAGAACCCCTGAAAGCTGATATGATTCATGCAGTCATGCTCACTTTTGCATGCATGATTGTATAACACCTGAACAAGGGATTAGTTAACTTTTCTAATTCCTGCCCTCATTTTTAAATGTTGTCCAATAAATCTGCTCAGTTTTGAGTCCAAGGCACAAATCAGTAGCTCAGCTCTTACTGATTTCAGAGGGAAGAGGAATCAGGAACTTTCTGACTTTTCCAGTTCCATGTACCTTCACAGTGCAGCAAATATGTTAAATAGTACTAATAACCTGTCTTTACTTGTCTAGGAACTAATGTTTCAGAAGTGTTGGAGAGAGACATATGATGTATCTAACCAATAGTATAATAACAGAGCTTGGCAGAAGAATTATTCCCAAAGTCCCACAGGGAACTTTCTTACTGAACCATGAGATTTCATTAGCTTTTTTTTTTTAAATCATACGGGATGACACATTTTGTTAATGGTAATAAAATACTCTTTCTTTCATTCTCTAATCCAGCTGCCACATTTGGCCCTACATTCCCCTAAAGCAGTGAATTGTGCAGGAACACTTCAAACTGTATGAAGAAACATTTCTCGTTTAATTTCATACAACCATCCTATTCTTTACTTACTGGCAGTCATTCTGCGGCAGTCATCTTAGACCCGCTCCGACTGAAATAGGTATAATATTATCCAGGTAATCATATGGGACTAGGTCAGTCATCAAATGATACAGAAGAAGGTGTCTGGCTCATGGTTGTACCTGCCATGCTTTCTTTGCTTTTGTTTTTTTCTTTTCAGTTCTGACCAGTTCCTTTTGAACATTTCTTCTGTGGTGAATTAAGCAATAAGAGATTTATTTAAGTCCTTTGCTAACTGAACTAATCCTAACTTCAGCAGTCTCATCCTCTCCACCACCAGTCACTTCCAGCACTGTCTATATTTTTTCAGTCAGTGATGTGCAGTCTGAAACCTGATGGCAAGTTATGGAGTAGTCCAGCTCATGGCACACTGTATATTCACCTAGTGTATGTATGTGTATATAGATGTATATCACGTATATTCACATGGCACACTAACCTAGGTGTCCATTCTTTTTTTAAATATCCTGTCATCCTGATTATTTACAACACTCACTGGCCTTTCTTTTCCTTGATCTGAATCACAGAGACCCTCTTGTCTCTTTGCCAAACTAATCCCGCGTCTTGGCACAGTTTTCCCAGAAGTTAAATCTGCTAAGCTGGTTTTCTTCTACAAAGTTAATTACTAGAGGCAGCTTAACTATTCCATTGGGAAATTCCAGGTTTTTGAAGGAAGTTTCAAAAATATGGGAAAATTATGTTTCCCACACTTCTTCCTATGTCAGTGTTTTCCTATACTGAAAAGGACTTAAGAAATTCTGAGCATGTAGAAATGTAGAAGTGCCTTTTTTGATTTTAAAAGTAACACATTTCATTTTTAGTGTTAATAACCTAAAATGAGTGTTACTGTCTCACTGGAAGTGTTTATTTGAAAAAAAAGCACTTTTTTCAGGTATTTCTTTCTAAAACAGAAAAGTCGGCACACAGTATCTACATTATTTGACTACATCATATCAACATGTGTTCCATCTTTTTCCTAAAAATAGGAAAAAGTGGGGAAGAAGGAAGATAGCAATTTGCGAATTTCACATTTTACTTTTTTCTTTTTGCCTTTTAAAAATTTTATTTAGGGTACTCATCAAAGGAAGAGTAAAACTTGAAAGTAAAAACTTAAAGTATAATCACTTTTCATTTTCTAAATTTGTGCATAAAAACTGTTGGACTAACCTGTATTACCTGCTGAAAGATTTCATTAGGAATTTTCAGTATGCCTATTTATTAATTCATTTTCTGCAGTTTA